GCTTTATATGCTCGCTCGTTTGCGTTTCCCGGATTTTCCCTACCCTCCGCCCATGGATGCTACCTAGTATGTATGCAGACATAGGCACCAAAATGGAAAAATATGAACATTCTACTTGAAATGTTTTCAAAATTATTAAAAAAACACAATTATGATATTTTTCGAGTGCGAATGATATATTTATATAGTATGTTATTTATAAATGTGATTAAAAAGTTTAAAACTTTGTTGAAATTTTCAAATTTTTGTACAAAGTATGAAACTTGCTTGGACTTGTATGGTCTGTCTCTCATGTACACTTAGGTCTTTTTTTATGCGGTAGATGCGTTCTTCAGAAAGCCGCATAAAAAAGTTCTTTAATTTCATACAAGAACAGGAGATGCGTTCCAGCATTTTCAAAACCCGCATAAATTCAGATACTTCAAAAAAAAAAAAAACAATTTATTTCTTCACTTCTGTATTTTAACCAAAACAAAAAATATCATAAAAAATACATGAATTATGTAAGAAAAATTGATTGCAAAAAAGTAATAAAAACTCTCAAAGAAGCAAAATCGATACAGCGAAAAAAATGTTTGAAAAACCTCATAAATTCAAATCCGCATAAAAAAGAAACACATAAAAAGAGACCTAAGTGTATAAGTTGAAATTTTATAAGCTATTGAAAATTAAAAAAACTATACCTACATATACTACGTTTATACGTAAGCTATTTGCAAATAAAAATAATTTGCAAATACCTAACTCACTGTTTATTCGATGGTGAAAAATTCTTTTTTAATATTGCCTGATTATAAAAAGGCAATAATATGACAATCGAAAAAGAAAATAAAGTTAACAAGTAAGAAAGTCTAAGTTCGGGCGGAGCCGAACATTAAATACCCGGCGCAAGTATTAAAGATATGTTTTTTCACCTTTCCGAAACCTTCCGCTAGATGGTAAGCCGGGATGTATTAATTTTGAGTAAATTAGCGTCCTTCAATTTCGAAATATTGAAGTTTCAAGCATTTCTGAAACTTACCGTTATATGAGAAGCGGCCGTTATTTTAGTTCGATTTCAATAATTTTCAACGTTTTGCTTATATGTGGCAAGCACAATAACCACACCGAGTTTGGTACAAATAAGTAGAACGGTTACCGATATACATATATGTGATCATAAGTGGGCGGTGCCACGCCCATTTTCCAAAATTTTACCATAAACGTATTTCTTGGTAAAGAGTTGTTGCAAGTATCAATTTTGAATAAATTAGCTTCAATATTTACTGATTTATCGAAGATTTTGTATTTCTCTAAATTACCGTTATATGGGATGTGGGCGTGGTTATTGTCCGATTTTAAAAAGTTTCGGCGATTTTTTATGCTGTACCAAGGCCAACAACTGTGCCAAGTTTGGAAGAAATTGGTGCAGCGGTTACCAAGATATACACATGTAACCATAAGTGGGCGTGGCTACGCCCATTTTCCAAAAATTTTTAATATTCTTTGTTTTTGTCTAAAAACTATTGTAAATATCAATTTTGAGTGAACTATCTCCAGTAGTTACTAAAATATCGCAGTTTTCGTATTTCTGAAAATTACCGTTATAATGGAAGTAGGCGTGGTTATTGAGCGATTTTAGAAATTTTCGGCCATTTGGTATGTTGTGGGAAGGCCAACAACTGTGTCAAGTTTGGAAGAAATTGGTGTAGCGGTTACCAAGATATACACATGTAACCATAAGTGGGCGTGGCTACGCCCATTTTCCAAAAATTTATAATATTCTTATTTTCCGTCTAAAAATTATTGTAAATATCAATTTTGAGTGAATTATCTTCAGTAGTTACTAAAATATCGCAGTTTTCGTATTTCTGGAAATTACCGTTATATAGGAAGTGGGCGTGGTTAAAGTCCGATTTCGCCAAATTTCGTTGAGATATCTCAATTTTTACTCGAGTTATCGTGTACACGGACGGACGGACAGACGGACAGACGGACGGACAGAAAGACATGGCTTAATCGATTTCTTTTTTCATCCTGATCATTTATGTATACATTTGTCTATATCTATCTCGATTCGTTTTGGCTGTTACAAACAACCGTTATGTGAACAAAATTAATATACCCTTGTGCACAAGTGCGCTCGGGTATAAAAATGGCAACGTCTTGATTATAAAAAGGCAATAAGATGACAATCGAAAAAGAAAATAAACCTAAGAATGGCGGCGTCTTGCGCTTCTTTGCAAATAGTAGCACTAATCAATACTTATTTGCGTGATTTAGTTATTTGCAAATAAAAAGTTAACTCAGCGTTTATACGGCAAATTTTACCATTTTGCAAATTGTTATTTGCGAATAATACGTGGGTATAAGTACATAGTAATATATATGTATGCACATATGAGCCTACCTAGTAGATAAAACTGGCAAAAATAGCACGCATCTATTCTTCTGTGCATGAAAATATATACATAAATAAATACATACATATGTGTATATATGTATGTATATACATATCTACATGTGTGCATACAATCGTTTGCTCTAAATTCTTAGTTGATGCAATTTTTATCCCATACATTTTTGCTGACCAAACAACCCGTTTGCCTGTCTAATCTGCTTGCCTCATTTCCCTCGCTCGTTTACTCGCCTCGCTCGTCTGCTGCTGCAAATGAGTGCCTCGCTCGCAACGCCCCTCTCGCGAGGGCAGAGCTAATGAGGCCCTCGTTTGCTTGCCGCTCTACTATTGCCCCGCCCTCGTTTGCTTACTCGCTCGCTGGCTACTCATCGCGTGCGCTCGTACCTAACGAGTGCTCATTTGCAAACAGCCTCGCGTGTGCCTCGTGAGTTGCGCTAACTCAGAGCAAACTAACGAGCGAGAGAGGGGCCAAAATGAGGCAAATCCGAACCCTGGCACAAAACAAGTCAAACGGCAAATTATGTCACAAAAAATGTATTGTTTTTATTATTTTTAACCAAGTTTTAAACCGCTTTCCAAGTCCCTATTTTTTTTTTTAAACAAGGCTGTTTAAACACAAAAGAACAATTAAACGAGAAAATCAAAAACAGTTTTAGTGCAAAAAACAAGCCAAACGGCAAATTATGCAACAAAAAATTAATTGATTTTATTATTTTTAACCAATATTTAAACCGCTTTCCAAGTCCTATTTTTTTAAATAAGGCTGTTTAAACAAAAAACAATTAAACCACAAAATAAAAAACAGTTTTAATGCACAAAACAAGCCAAACGGCAAATTATGCAACAAAATAATTAATTGTTTTTATTATTTTTAACCAATTTTTAAACAAATTTCCAAAATGAGAAAATTGTTCTAATAAAGCGAATTTTATTTGTTTCCCTCTGTAGAGTTTAAGTTTTGGCATAAATAAGCGTTTCTATTTTCAGTTCGTAATTATTCCTTACTTGGCGCCCCTTGTCCTTTACCCCGTCGTATATTATCCATATGGAGAGAACAAGTGAATATAATTTTTTAGAGATAATTTTAATTAAAAAGGTAGCAACAACTCTAATTACAAAAAAAAACAATTAAAAAAAAGGTTTGATGCCCTTTGTTAAGATGAAAGAGAACAGAGCTACCCATTTCCAAATGAATCCAATTTTTTAGACAAAATTTTAAATAAAAAGGTAGTAAAAACTATAATTACAAAAAAAAAAAAAGATTTAAAAAATGTTTGCTGCCAGTTGGATTCGAACCAACGATCTCGAAATAGCCCTTTTGTTAAGCTATCCATTTCCAAGTGAATCTAATTTTTTTGACAAAATTTTAAATAAAGAAGTGGCAACAGCTATAATTACAATAAAAAAAATAAAAAAAAACAATTAAAAAAAATATTTAAAAAAATGTTTGCTGCCAGTGGAATTCGAACCAACGATCCCGTAACAGCCCTTTGTTAAGATGAAGGAGAACAGAGCTATCCATTTCCAAGTGAATCCATTTTTTTTGACAAAATTTTAATTAAAAAGGTAGCAACAACTATAATTAAAAAAAGCAAAAAAAGTTAAAAAAAAAAAAATTAAAAAAAAGCAAAAACAATTAAAAAAAAAAGATTTAAAAAATGTTTGCTGCCAGTTGGATTCGAACTAACGATCTCGAATAGATAGAGATGTTAAGATGAGAGAGAACAGAGCTATCCATTTCCAAGTTAATATATTTTTTTTATTTTAATTCAAAGGAAGCAACAACTATAATTACAAAAAAAAAAAAATAAAATAAAAACGATAGGGACTTGGAAAGCGGTTTAAAAATAGGTTACAA